TAACATATTTAAAAAGAAACTGGGTGCCCCCAAACTGTAACATCCAGCCCCCCCCCCCACCCTCTTTCCACCCCACCCCCTTGCCACCCCTGGCTACGCCGCTGTGTTCTCACGACAGTGTTTATGCAAAAGAATTAGCAGCTAATTTTACACATTTTAGATACACCGAGTGAATTGGGCAGATGTCTTTGGATGGGTTCTGATACACTTTGTGCATTAATACTATTGAGGGCGCTCTTTATACACCCATTGATAACACATTGGTGAGTGGACACAGTGACTGTTAGTCCCAGAAGTTTCTTTTTTATACTTAGCAAAATTAAGCGGAATACCAAGTCACAAGCAATATATAAATTGCAAGACATTTTTGGCTGGTAACCCGTTTTTTGCTAAGCAAGCATTTCTGTGCTTAATTTGTTGAGCTCAACCACTCCGTGACATATTGGCCCTCATTCTTGAATATTTTGTGATCATGTGGAACTCAATGGTAGGAACAGAAATTAATGTATGAGGTAATATTAAGTCACCCTCATAATAATATAAAATCCCTCTGTTGGATGTTATGTGTACATTTAACCTGTATATCACCTGTATAAAGAAAAATTAAAAACTTTGAAATTGCGCTTAAACTGAATGTATTTGTGTAAACTTTTATTGAATTAGGTGTATACATGTTGGGGGAGATATACTAGTGGAGAAAATTTTGTACGGAGTAATATTATGCGGGATAATTATTGGGTCATTATATTTAAAAACCTTATTTTGTTTATAAATTTACACATGTATTAATTTTCAGATGGAAATTAATTTTCTCCACCCATTTCACTATTGCTTTTTCTTTCTAGTTTCAAAAACAGATGTAGTCTTGAATAGTTTGTTAACCCCCCCCCCCCCCCCCCCCCACCCCCAACTTTGTCATGCCCACTAGTACTTCTGGTGTTCCGGATGCAGAGGCGGAGGAAGTAATATTAAGACATCCATTTAACTGCCCTTTCCCCCCCCCCCCCCCATTAATCCCACCCCCTCCCCAATGTCATCCCCACTACTTATGATGTTACGGAGGGGGGGGGATACTGAGACAACTACATATTTAGCCCCCCCCCCCCCAATCTTCACCATATTAAATAAGCCCAATGAAACTTCCTCACTCATGTAAGTTATCCTTCATTAGTAAGATTTAAAAAAAAAAACAATATGGCTTTGTCTTTAATATTGTGTGTGTTGGATCTGAACTATATGCCCCGCCCAGTGGACGACCCCACCCCACGCCCAAATTATGACGCAGATACAAAAATAAGGTTCCGACGGAAACTAGTGTTCGGTACATTGTAGTATCGATGAGGAGTATCGATACTATCGACATCGTGCGCGTGCGTGCGCTAGCGCTAAAAATAGCACATCCTCCGAAGCGCAGCACATGCACACACATCATTAGCGAGTGGACGAGCGAAATGTGTGGGTGATTTTCATCATATTTAACCTTGCTAAATGGACATCAAAGAACTGAAAGATCACACTGTCAGGATGCCATAGAGAGTCAGATAAATTTGGTCTTCACTGAGAGTAGTCGTGATTTGTTTTCCTGTTGAAAAGCAGCTTATGAAGTTTGTTGAGTAAGCGAGAACTAACTTGGCGATTTTGCACTACAACTTTGTGTGTACAAAACTACATGCGAAGTCGTGCACTGCACTCAGTAGGGACTCCGTACCGTATACCGTGTGTGGGCACTTCCGTATCTTTTGGGCTCAGGTCGGGCTCGAAATTCTCGCTCGTTGTCGCTGAACTTTACGTCGACGCAACTGATCAACCCAAACCTTTTGATTGCCGGTGTTTGTGGGGCCAGTTCTGGGCCTCGATAGGGTGGCAAAGATGTCTCTCGCAGCGGCCAAAATCCGTGGGATGGTGAGCAAGCAGAAGAGGCGGTATGTCGACGGCAACTTCGATTTGGACTTGAGCTGTATCCTTTTCTCACAGTCACAATGTTTGAAATATTTACTGAGTAGTTTTTCATTTGACACATGTTTTCATACTGTGATTCCATTTCCAGATTTATTGATATTGTGTTAAAAAACATGCCTTTGATTATTGACCATTTTTTAGCATGTTTAGTGTGTTGTGAAGGGATACGCTCAACAATCCACAAAAAGGTAGAATGGACCATTTGTCATTTGTGCAATTTTTTTTTTCATTTGAAGCAACAAAAGTACTTACTCAAAATCTGAAGACGCATGCTTTAAATAACAACTCACCTGAAGAAGTTTTAGCTCTGTGAATGCTGTATATTTCAAGAAAACACAACATTCTGGATTTCGCTTTTTCAGTTCAAAAGTTGCTATGTCATATTTTGAATTACGCCCTCTCGTGACTCAATCCCGAAATCAGCATTCGGGACGTGATTCTCATTCAGCCGATTGTAGCTATGTGCGCGCGGGTGTGCGTCGTGTCAACGCTTGCTCCCATTCAAAGATTCACCCAATTACAAACCAACAACAAACGAAAATTGCTAAAAATGTGTCGCTTGACGCATCTTTGGAAAAGACCTTCTTTTATTGTTAGTTTAAAAATGACAGCATGCCAGAAGAATAATTTCACAGGTAGCTCAGCATCATACTGTCATTACTATCTTTAAACCAAGTAAGGTTTCAACAATAATTTGGTTGGCTACTTTTTGGACAACATGCAAATGGTCCACTCGACCTTTTACCTAACCTTCCAAAATCTTCCCAAATCCTCCTTCCATAAGTGGAGAATTTCATAGGATTGAGGCCGTATGGCAAAAACGTGTCACTGATTTTGGCAGATGCACTGTGTCAAGGTCTTGGGCCGGACATTGTGATGTTTAAGCTCAACCATGCAAAAATTTAGGCATAGATTATACTTGAAAACCTCCACATTGCTCCAAGAAGTCACTGTTTTGAAGGATTGAGCCAGTGGTCACCCCTCGAAAGAACACATTCAAGAAATGACAAATGATATTGGAGGATAAAGGGGGTATCCAATTTTTATGAGGAGGCAGTTGGAGGATTTTACAGGATTGAGGTTGCATCCTAGCAAACTGCCTAGGGAATTAGGGTTAAAGGCCTACATGTAAGTTACACAGTAATATTAGACAGTGTCGGGCAAACTACACGATGCAGTGCAATGTTATGTACCTTCACTGCACATTTCCGGCCTGGTGGCTATCCATAAAAGTTTAAGAGGTAAATGATATAGGTTTTATTTCCTGTATAGATTTACAATTTTGTGGAGATCCATGTGAGTTTTTGTATCGCATGTAGATTTTTCAAAACCAACTGCATGATGTTCATCGTGCATGCAGACACGGCAGAAAAGTTGTCAATTTAGACATGCATGGCCGAATATACATTTTTTGCAATATACCGGTACTTGCAATTTTATTTGAAACTTTCATCTATTAGATAGATTTTGATTGTTGAAAGATTTGCAGTATCCATACGTGTTAGCACATGCTAACAAGAGAGGGCGCTTTTTGCCAGACTCGAGAGCCCCATGGACGGGACACACCACGTGTGCGTACTGGTTTAATACGCACGACTTATTTTTTTTGTGAATGTGCACAAGGCCATAGCGTCCTGTGTGCATCAGGCGTCAGCGACAATGTGTTCAAATGTCTCTCCCAGTGGTCTCCCCCAACTCTCCATTTCTTACCGTTGAGGGGGTACTTGTACACGGAGCCCATACTCCCGTGTACAAGTACCTAAAACTTGGCCCAGACGAAAGTGCATGTACTTAGAAAAATCTTTTGATCCATAGAGAAACAACTGCGCATACTATCGGGGTACGTGCATAAAATTCATGCAGAATATTACAGTGTCTGTCTTTGTTGGGGCCCAAGCACCCCTGCCTTGAAAAGGGTGGGCGAGGTCAGCAAAGGTCAGCAGAGGTCGGTGACCTCAGGGGGTGATGATGATGATTATGATGGTGGCGATGGTAGTGGTTTGGGGATGGAGCTTGCTGTCAATCAGTGGGATGCGATACCGGTGGAATGTGTCCACCTGAGGGGTTATTGTAGCCATGCACATCCAGTTTTCTCACTGTGGAGTGATCCATGCTTTGGGTTTTGGTTTGTGGTCATTTGAATTACCGGTATTTCATTCATTTAGTGGTGTTCATTGTGTAGGCTAGTCGTTGGGTTGGGAACAGAGATCGAGTTGCTCACATTAAAGTTTGTGATTTACGGTATGCCATATTTCGGCCATAATGGGTAGCGGCCGATTTTCATGAAATCAGTGCGTAAGGTACGCCATGCGTAGGCTTTTTGCAACAAATTTGTTGTACAACTGTTCAATAAACTTACATTCCATTTCACAGAACTTGGTGGAGCTGTGCAACGTTTTAAATATAATCTAAACATCTTGGACGAGGATGATAACAGCATTTACGACAGCTGTTTGTGTGTGATTTTGTTCGTTCATGAAACAGTCGTTGAATCACCTGCGCCCGCCATTTTGAAAACGGTTTTGTCCGACTTTCTTCAAAATCATGCGACAACTCTAAAAATTCTCTGTCACGAGTAAAATAGCAATTCATTTACATTGTGTGTACTTTAAACACAAAGTTGACATGATAGTGTCCTGTATCAACCTCGATTTGTGCAGTGACAGGCTCCAAGATACTCAGGATTTGCAGGTCTCAGTCATTTTTCAGTCGCAACGCCACAACTTACACGCCACCTAAAGTGAGTGAACATGCATGAGTGAACATGCAATGAGTGAACATGCAATGAACTGAAATCGCACTTATAAGAAGCAAATATGCATATTTACTCTCACGTCATGTAGGCCTTTGCTATAGTCTACAAATTGCTCACGCTAAGCACGCAATGACTGTCGGGTGTGCTGGTCATTGACTCCTCCCATTTTGTATTTATGAGGAAAAGGTCCCTTCCCCCAAGCTCCTAGTACCGGTAGGAATGATAATACATGTATACACGTGTACAAATGTACATGATAAATGTACAGTACGCCTGTATGCAATCCCCTTAATACAAACCCGGATTTTATTTCAATAGGGTACCCGGTTCCCAGCCTACACACCACTTGTTTTCATTGAGATATTTCTTGATAAATATCCCTTTCGTTTTCGGTTTAGTGCATGTGTATCTTCTCACACATGTTCCGATTTACAATGCAAGAAAAAAATGTACACACACCTTTATGACATCCCTGTGAGTTTGTTTGATACGTGCGAAGAATTCACAATTTTGTCTTTGTCGTAAACAATAATAACCAAATGCACATTTTGGGGGTGGTTTTGTAATGCACTACAAATGCACTATAATAAACAAATGGTGAGTCTACTAACTGCATGGTCTTCTGCACAGCAACCTCCTGTCCGCCTTACTTAACTGTAAATTTCTAATTGAAAGTGTGCATACATGTATATACCCAACAGATCTTCTGTGTGTTTTCTTTCACAAAAGTTTCTGAGAAGCTCGTCCTCCTTCAAACCACAGTCAGGACAGACAACGGTGTATTTTTGGAATGTCTTGTCTTCATTGAATTACCAGGAAACCGTGTCTTAGACATTGCTGGGATTTTTCTGTCCCTGCACCCCCCCCCCACCCCTCCCCCCCCCCTCCATTATTGTGGTTACAGTAGTGAAAAGACCAGTTGCCCACGCACAAGGAAATGCGTAATCATATCACTCTCACAAAGCTTCTGTCCTTACAATGGATCAGGCGGATCACGCTACACCTCAAAAAAGGTTTTTGTATTCTGGCCATGGCAAAAAGAAAAATAATACCCTGTCTCAAAATTTGGAAACCTTACCCTCAGCTGAACATTTTTTTTTGGTTTTACATCATGTCTGTTGATAGGTTTGTTCAGTTCGAGTAGATGATATATGAATGATAAATTCTCCTAGATGTAAATTTACAGTACATAAAACACTTACATCACATTTAGGTCTGTATTGCACATTGCACATTGTTTATGAGGGTCCACGCAACCTGTTTTTCATACAACATGCCTTTTGTAAATGAAATTGTTTGGGTCACGGAAGAACGTAACAGGTACTCATGTTTTAATTTTAGAAGTGTGTAATGTGTGCGCATGGAGCTTTCCTGTACCTACTTTATAGAACACAGAAGTTTATTTTTGGAAAAACACAAGGTTTTGAAAGCTTTTCAAAACATAAAAAAAATTATTTTTGGCAACTACCAGTTTTCGAAAGCTTTTGAAACTGCAATTTTTGGAAAGCTTTTCAAAACATAAAAAACCTTGTGAGATGAAGGTTAATAAATTAGTTTGGGTGTTGTTACATTTAAGGTTTGTGACCAGGCCTATTTGTTTATTTTGCTTAAATTATAAATTGTCGTACAATATGCAAAATGATTTAAAAAGAGCATACCCAGCTATTCGTACTGATACATCACTCGGTTCAACACCCTAACGATTATCCTTGGGACACTTTTCACACACACACACAAAAATCTAAAGTTTCGATTGATTTACATGCAAAATTTGTTGAAGTAACAAGAATTCAAAAAAGTGGGCCTGACGACTTTAGACTCATTTCATGGTGGGTGTCACACTCACGAATCGTACATTGTACATGTGCATGTTGTACATGTACACATTGTTGGTCACATACATGTACATGTACATGTAAAATTCACATACATGTACATGTCCGGTAGTCTAATTGTACATTGTACATACTTGTACACATTGTTGGTCACATACATGTACATGTACATGTACATGTACAATGCACATACATGTACATGTACATGTCTGTTCCGGTAGTCTAAAGCTCTAATGCTTGGTGATTCCCCTGAATGGTGGGAGGTTTTGTAATCTGGCTACAGTAATTTCCCTAAATTCTTGCGGTTTGTGTACGTAGGAAATACATGTGATGGGTGTGTATCACATGTACCGGAGCAGGATGTGACATGGTACATGTACGTAAAGGCACCATGTATTGTTACCGGTA